AATTAATCCCTTGAAAAAATATATATTTGTGGATAATTCTTGATAAATTTAATTTTTAATAAAATTAAGCTATTTTATAAAATAATTCTATCTAATTCATGAACATGAATTTAATCATTAAAATAAATTTATTAGGATAAAATATCTCTGTAAAATAATTGATAATCGAATTAAATATACAAAATTATCTAATAAAATAAAATATTTCTAACAATTCATGCTAACAGAAGATAGCCTATTTAAGATTCAAATAAATCTATCGAAATTAAAAATATTTCTCTAGATTTATTGATAATTTAATTTATTTGAATTTTAGATTCAATTAATGATAATAATTGAATTTTAAGATACAAATAAATAAATTCAAATAAATTATTTCTATATAAGTTAAGGATGATTGTACTTAAAAAATTGGGATGCTCCAAAATAATATTGTTTTACAAACTTAAATATCTCAATTAAAATTAAATATTTCTATTTAAAATTATAAGATTTTATTTTTTTAAACAATAAATATGCAAAATTAATTCACTTTTATAATAATTTTATTTTATTTAAAATTAACTTCCTTAAAATTTAAAAAATGGGTTGAAATCTATTCCATAATGATTCAAAAATTTTCTTGAAAGAATTAGAACTTTTATGTTTAAAATATTGGCAATGGTGAGCTAAGAAGAATAGCAATATTAGAATATTAGAGCTGACTAAAAATAAATTAAAAAATACTGCATTCGACATGATGATTGTTCCTCATTTAGAGGGTTTTAAACTGTACTGTGTAGTCTTGATATTTTTTATCTAAAGTTACAATTTATTTTCCTCCTTTAAAATCCAATAAACGAATAGAGTTTTCTTAACTACAAAATTCATCAGGTGAGAAGTATACATCGTATTTTCTATATTAATGATCATCTTCATTTATTTTTATTTATAATATTTAAACAACCATAAAATTATTCAACTACCCAAGTAATTTTGAATATCATAAAAAGTAATTTTAAATATTTAAATTTACTATTCATTAAAACAATTTATCTTATACTTATCATTAGGTTTCTAAGATGCAACTACCTTTAGACTTTAATAACGATTTTAAATCTATTCCTTCATGGTCAACAAATTCTCCTTTGAGAATTATGGCATCTTAAGCTTAAAATATTGCAGATTAGGATATAAGAAGAATAGTAATATAAGAAGTCACTAAATATAAATTAATACTACTTTATAAATGAGGATTTTTTTAAACTAAAAGAGATTAATATTATGCGATGGCATTTTATTGCATTTTTTCTGAAGTTTAAATTTATTATCCTGTCTTAAAGTCCCATAAACGGATAGAGTTATCATCACTACCAGAGGCTATGGTAGTTCCATCAGGTGAGAAACATAATGACAGTACAGAATTGCTATGACCATTCAATTAGGCTTTTTATTATCCTGT